AGAGTTGAATTTGGAGCCGGCTGAGAGTTTTCTGCCTTCTCCTAGAGGAGAGGGGTGATGGGGATGGGGTGGGAGCACAGGGAGGCTGGTTCCACCTTCTGCTGCCACTGGTTTGGTTTCTGGGGAGTTGCCCGAGCGAAGCCTTTGGTCTTTACCTGCAAACGAGGTGAATTGTCCCTCTGTGTCCCCAAAGCAAGGGACACACCGGGTTAGGGGCTTGCTCTGGGCTGGTATTAGGTACTGGCGTTGCTCCACCTCAAGACATTTGGGGCTTATGTGGCACTTCAACCACATGTACTGTAATAACCAGGGCCAGCATCAAAGCACAGCAGGATTTTTGACCAGGGGATGCCATTCCCAGCCATGGGCCCCATGCAAACAGCCTCTGGTAGCTGGGAAAGGTGCTGGAGCAGGGCCAGGCACCAGCAATCAAGGGCAGAGGGTCTCTGATACTGCTGCTGTGGTGCTACTTCAAGCACCCTAAGGGTGTCTGACACCCACTCAGCAGAAACAGGGTGCTGGGTGCGTGGGCAAGGCAGGGTGAGAGCAGAGCCCAGGATGGGAGCAGGATGGGGGGGATATATCCACTGCTACAGCTGCAAAGCCTTTGCCACGAGGGACAGGAATAGACACCAAAACATGCAGAAGCACGGGCAAGCCACACAAAACTCACTTTCTGAGTGCCCCCCATGAAAACCCCTGTGTGGCAGCAGGGCAGGAAGGGAGTAACTCAGGAAAAGCAAGGGAAAGCATTCAATGGCTGTCTGCTGCTCAAGGAGAAGCTGTTGCTAGACAGAAGTAAAAGCCGTCGCCATCGGCTCCCATTGGCTCAGCCCCACTCCAGTGACAGGCTTATCAGTTACCTGCTCTCGCAGCTGGCTGAAAAAAACCTCATTTGACAATGTTTTCCCTCTGATAAAAAAGCCCATTGCTGGATTCATGGGTTTGGGTTAATCATTATTCAGGGTTGTGGAGATAACCGACGAGTTTTCTACAAATTCTTCAATTATCACGAAATTCAGCGTCAGTGGTGAGCCAGCCCAGCTCTCCTTCGACGCCTGAAGATGCTCAGCCTCCCAGCACAAGCACCAGCGGGCTGCTCCAGTGATGAGCCAGAGCAAAGGTTGGCTGCTTTCAGCCACAGCAGCTCCCTGGCTATAGCACACAACGGTGGTTTTTTTCCAGCCCTTTAAATCTGATGTAAATTTGGGGATTGACCCCCCCCCAAGTTTCTCGGTTCCCCCAAGAGTTGGAGGTCACAGCATAGAAACGAAGCTCTCAGTGAACACCCATGAGCAGCTGGCCTTGGGCTGCCTTGCTGCCTTCAGATTTGCTCCCAAAATAGGGCAGGTATTTCAGGGGGGGGTTAAATCAGGGTGGTGGCAACGGGGACAAGCTCTCCAAGGCAGGCTGGGACTGTGTGAGCCCCAGGCTGGGCAGGCAGGAGGGCACATGGGCACCAGTGCAAGCAGGCTGGGGGGGTCCAGCAGGGGCAGGAGGGATAAAGCTGCCCTGGCTGGCAGGGGATGAGGGCTGACAGAAATCTGTCCCTTGCCTGGAGCCCAGCCTGGGCTTGCTTTTGGAAGTGGGTCTCTGTGAAGTGTTTGGATAGTCAAGGCTTGAGAAATGTTCTTTTTTTTCCCCATAATTATGCCTCCCCTCGCCGCTGGCTGACGGCAAGGCAGGCTGAGTCACAGGCTGATAAAGCCCCGTGGCCTTCCACCTCCTGTTGCAGCTTTCTCCAGCCTCACCTCAACACACCCCTGCCTCCCAGCGAGACCCTGTGGTTTAAGGCAAGTCAGTGCTGCTCAGGGGCCAGGCAGGACGGGCTGGAGTGGGACAGTAAAGGGAGGCTCAGGGGGACAAACGAGCCAGGAACTGTGGGATGCTCCACACGGACTCCCCACAAAGCCACCAACCCCCCAGGGGATGCAGATTTATGGGCCAGGTTATATGGCCATGAGCAAAGCACCCCTCTGCTGTGCCCTGCCTCTGGGTGTGCTGCTGTGTTACTTTTGGGGTGTCACCATCTTCAGAAGGTGGGTCTGCTGACCTGCTGAGCCTTCACCACTTCTACACTCTGCTGCCCTCCTGCCACACCAGGAGTGGAAACAGAAAAACCTGGGCCAGTTGTGCTCTTCCTACACCTGCTGGGTCAGGTCCCTCCCATACCCTGCCAGGTCCTGCCAACGTTGCAGGCACCCCGGGCTGAGCTGCACCCCAAGGCTCACTCAGCTTGCTTCATCAGGAACGTGCCTGACTGACACCAGTAGCATTTAAAGATCTATTGTAGGGCCATGTTTCCTACCAGGTTTGGTGCAGACTGTAGATCATGAGCTCACTTCACAGCCCAGGTTTATTCCTGGGCACCCCGAGCTGAGCTGCACCCCAAGGCTCACACAGCTTGCTTCATCAGGAACGTGCCTGGGACAAACTGACACAAGCAGCATTTAAGGATCTATTGTAGGGCCACGTTTCCTACCAGGTTTGGTGCAGACTGTAGATCATGAGCTCACTTCACAGCCCAGGTTTATTCCTGTCAAAGGACAATTGTGCTTGGGCCACCAGGAGGGCAGAGCATTTTAGATACATCTGACAAGTTTCCAAGTGCTCCTGAGCTGGCCCTGGCTTCCTCTGCCAGGCAGGGAGGGGTTAAGATGGGAAGTGCAAGATGCAGCTTGCACTGGCAGGGATGTGTGTGTCAGGTGTGCCTTCATCACTGCTCCCTTGGCTGCTTCCCAAGGCTGGGGCTGAGCTCTCCTCCCTTCCCTTCCCCTGGCCTCGGGAAAACCCTGGGATCTGGAGTGTTCCAGTGCTGGTGCTGGCTCCCAAATACCCCCGGGGTGCTGGTAGCCCTCTGGCCACCTCCCATGTCAGCCCAGGCAGCAGGGCTGGGGGACTCTTGTGCTAAAGCAGTGGCCCCAATGGCAGGGAAATATCGATTTTCTGTAACTGTGGCTGCTCAGTTCAGTGTGTGATTGTCCAGCCCCAGATCCCACACCGGTGCCCACCCCCAGCTGGGGTGTATCTGTGCTGCCACAGGTACCTAGGGATGCCACCCCTGGAGCAGCAGCCTCCACTGCAGCTGACCTTCACCCCCTCCCCAGACAGTACCAGCTGCCCACCCTGCAGAGAGGGCACAGCTCTTGCCCCAAGGACTTTGACTTTGGGGGTGGGCAAACCTCATGAACACAGGGAGCTCCCCGTGCAGGGATAGCCCACCTGCTGGAGGGTGACATGGTGGGATGCCTTCTGTTGCACCAAGGTTTCTTCAAGCAGCTGGCAGTGCTGGACCATCCCCTGCTTCTCCTGCCTTCACAGGCCTGTCCCCAGAGCAGAGGGGACCAGCCTGTGCCCCAAGGAACTGCTTACTCCAGCCACCCCAAGCACCTTTTCTGGCTGCAGTTGGGGTTTAAGTCTGGTAGACCTCCCCCCTGTCTTCCAGACAGCTGCCAGGTCAGATCATCCAGCACGTGCACAAGGGTTTAGCAAGAACAATTTTTAATTTGGAACTGGACAACTCTGTGAATGGTCTATTTCAAATGAAATGTACCCTACACTCTTGTCCGAGCTGAACATTGACTAGACCCGGCCTTTCTTTTCAGGTTTCACAGTGCAAAGAAAGTGAGGAGGAAACCAGTTGTTTTAACCAGCCCTGGATGGTTTGCAGCCTTGGGGCATCAGCGAGACACCACAGTCTTCCCACAGCAAGACTTGCCCCTGGCCCTCTGAAGGGGTATCCCCTTCCCAGAGGGCATGGGAGGTGTCCTGGCAGCCCTGGCATGCCCAAGGGGCTCCTCCAGGCTGAGAGCAGGACCCTGCTCAGACCCGAGCACAGCATGGCCTCCTGCTCACCTCTGTGCAACAGCAAGAGGCTGCAGGCAGCACTTCCAGGAGACTGACGGTGTCCAAGTGCCACCACTTCTCCACCCTGACTGGGGCTGGGGGTGTCCAGCTCCCCTGTGCTGCTGCCCAGAGCAGGGCTGGGTGCCAGGCAGAACCCACAGGGCACAACCCCTGGGGAAGGAGGTCACCAGCTGCCTCCACCTTGAACAGCAGAAGGCACCAGGATGGCCCAAACCACGCGGAGGAGTCGCTGTCCCCCCTCACAGGCTGCTTGCCATCAGGTCTGAGGGCCAGTACCGGTCATCCATGTACTGGTTGCTGTCAGTGATGGGGTCTGTGACGGGGCTGGGGGGCCGGGGGGGCAGCCCACGGGCCAGCTCCCTCTCCCACTGCACCTCCACCAGTCTGTACAGCTCCATGGCTGTCTGAGCATCCTCCACGGACGAGTGCCCTTTGCAGCCGACCTGAGCAAAGGGGAAAAAGCCTTGTTAGAAAAAGGAGGCAGCAAAAGTACCACAGATCATGTTGTCTGCTTGCTCAGAAGGACACAAACGCTGGGGGCTTTGGAGATGGCAAGGGTTGGATACTGCTGAGGAGATGCAGAAATCTCTCAAACACTTTCTGGAAGACAGATATCTTGTCCCTGCTTTACTGAGATGTTTAATGGTCAGCTTGGGAGGGCCTGGGCTCCCCCACCTTGATCACAGCTGGGAGCACAGGATGAACAGGGTTCATCTCCATCTCACAGGGAGAACCCATGGAGATGGGGGACTGTGTGGATCACACAGGCTCATAGCAAACCCAGGAGGAACTGCTCCCCATCTCAAGGTTCCTGGTGCTTACCTGGATCTTCTTCTGGAGCAGGTGCCTGGCCAAGCTCTTGAGTGAGACGCTGGCCCTGCTGGGCAGCCCTGCCCTCTGCTTCAGCACAGGGATCTGGCTGGTGTCTCGAGTCCTGTCTTTTGGATGAAAGTACTTCAGGGCTTGGAAGTCATTGTGGATGGCGTGTCCTACTACAATCTTGTCTTTCAAGATCTTCAGGATCTGGAAGCGTCAGAAAGGGTTAGACAAGCAGTACAGCAAAAAACACCAATTAAGCATAAAATAAACCATTTGGTGTTAAACTGAGTTCCTTCAGTTTTTAGGTCCCAGAACAGAGCAGTAACAAGCAAAACAACCCACCGCCCAGCTTCAGAGGCTTCCCATCCTGTTCCTGTGCTTCTGCCTCAGAGCAACTCAGCATGGGCCACCAAATACCCCAATTTGGGTCCAGCAAGTAACACATAGCGGGATGGTGGGTTTGACTGTTTGTTTGGTTTTTTTGGTCCCCCTCTGTATTGTTTGGGGTTTGGTTTTGTTTTTTAATTTCTCTCTTTTTCCTCACCTCTGCCTGGGCAGCCTTAAAAGGGATGGCACTCTTCATGTGCTGCTTGGTGATGCCACTCCAGCGAGTCCTGTAGTCCACAACGGGGAGCTGGGGCTGGACATACTTGTCATAGATGACATCCCCCTCGTAGTTCACCACGGAGCACCGTGCCAGCTCGCTCAGCCTCCCCTTAGGACCCGTGCCCACCATCTCACAGTCGATGGCCACATACTTGCCCGGGCGCAGGAGCAGGGAGGACGTCTGCACCCCCTTGGAGCTGCCACTTCCCTGGGACAGCAACGCAGAGTGGTGCCTGGCTACGCTCTCAGGAGAGGCAGATGGGGACAGGGATGGGGAGAGGGCCTTTTTGGGCTTGGGGACCTTCCCGCAGCGGGGTGTCGCGGTGCCTTCCATGTTGGTGAGCACGCTCTGTGCCTCTGGCCCTTCCGCGGGGTCCTGGACGCTTATGCACCTGCAGGGGCTCAGCAGCCCCTTCTGCTCCAGCAGTGCCCGGCGCTGCAGGAACCGCTG